TTTATCAAACGTGGGGACAGGGAAAAGTCGTGCCCAGAGGAGGCTGAATTGAGCGAGTGGATGCAAAATCACTCGAAAGAAGATGTTCGATTAACGGCCATAGACATTGTATTTATGTATTTGATAAGAATGTGAATTCTTTCCTGTCCCCACGTTTGATAAAAATCTTCATTGCTCGAAGATTAGTCATTATGTTCACCAGATTCATCAGACTTATTTGAGATTTAGCGCAAATCTTAAGAAAGTACCAGCCCCATTTTGCCAGTATCTGAATCAATTTTCTTTGCCCAGACTCTAACTTTTTCTAAAAGATGTACCGCGAAATTCTGCACAAAACGGCATGTTCCACTTAACAAATGCATTTACTTCCATCTTTGGAATACAAGCGGACTGAATGACATCAGGCACAATTTTCAAAATCGTCACCTTTTTCAGTCTTTCTTCGGAACCTCTTTTGATTCTTTTATCATTGTGGCTTTACTGAGACGCATTTCGATCTCAATGTTTTAAAAAATAACGAGTCTCAACGCATTAATTTAATACCTCTTTTTCCATTCGGGGAATTGAGACGGCGACGTATGCTTTTTTACTGTGACTAAGATTTCAAAAACTTATTTCTTAATTTCGTTTAGAAAATCATATTCAAAAAACACTAGTACCATGCATCATGCCGATAAACCAAATTAATGTACAAGTCTTCTTTATATATTTGGCTATGGCTCGTGTTTGTCTTATTTGTGTCAATTAATTACTGGATTTATTTACTTATGTATACATTTGAGGCCAAGAACACGACGCCTGTACATCGAACGATGCCTGGCGAATAACAGCATCTCACGTGAATTAGTTGATAGACATACTGACCATTTCGTTTTTTCTGTTTTTAGTATAGACGGAGATTTAATCATGTTTATATATACACGGGCGTTCACTAAGTGAACGAACTAGTAACCTCAATGTTCAAAAGCTTTTATTTAAAAGAAACTTGATCGTCTCAGTATCAAGGCATGTAAATTTTTGTTAAATTTTGAATATTTTTATTTTTTCATATATCATTATAAAAGTTACCTGTTTCTTTTTCGTTCTCTTCGCATACCTTGGAGCCTGTCATTCAGTCTTTTTCTTTTGTGCAAATCCATAGATTTCTACATGAGCTTTCAGAGAACCGAACTGGTGTTCCACAGATCTCCTGAAAAGCTGGTCTTTGAAATTTTCCCAAACTCATTTTTGCTTTTGAAAACATAGCTTCAGATCTTGGCTAGCGAATGACGAAAACCGCAAGTCTTCATTTTTTATTTCTCTTGAGTTAATAAAAAAATAATCAGCGCCGATAGTAGTGCAGCAAACATTAAAAAAGAAAGAAAAACGAACGGAATATCCACATAGTAGATATTAACAGTCATGCCCTCGAAGACTATTGGCGAAAAAGAGAAAACCAAACTAACTTTCTTAATCCGAAATATGAAAACCTTTATTTTACTTAGCTCAGCACATTGATTTTCGACAAAGTACTGATTTTTTCAGACGAAAAAACGTTTTTTTTTTCGATTGGGCGGTCAAATTAATTTTCTTTCGGTCAGCCGATCGACTGATCAAAACTTTCTGATCAGACCGGGCCGGTTACATCTCTGGTTTAATCTTAGACTCATTTGTTTGAGTAACCGTTTTAATCAGGAAGATGAATATTTTTGAGACGCAAAACAGCTTTTAATTGAAGAAAATACTAAGTCTATCAATATGTCGCTCAGCTTTACTATCTGACTTTCTCGAAAAGAAAAAAATATCACTAAAAACGTTAAAACTTGAGCTTCGGCATTTCATGCACTAAAGTCCATTTTCTTTAAAATAAATCTCGCACTACTGATTTAGTGAAAAGCCACTTTAGAGGTTAATTTTTAAGAAAAGCTTTCTTTGGGTCATTAGTGAGCGACCTCTAGTGATAATTTTTGGCAAAACTGATTTTTGTGAGCCTGCTCCGGCCACTTTCGGCACAATTTTTTTAAAAACTCGAGATGTAGGCCTATCTGACTCAACACGGGTCACAATCTAAGCACAATGAAACTTTGCTGGTCTGAAGTCGATGTAAATTTGAGCGGACCTGCGTGGAAACGCCCAGATGCAACCTGACTTTTAAATACACCATAAAACTGAAATTATGTGGGTCTGTGTCCTATTAAGTATGTGATCAAATAAAACTTTGGTCTATCATTTTTCAACAAATAGCAGTAAAGATATGTTTTGGATGTCTTTTCATTCATTTTTCATCGTCCACCTAGCAGTAGTCAAATGAATCTTATCTACTGTTTTAGTCAAGAAAAATAATTAAAGTACTTGCTGGATGGGGCCAGCAAGATGATAATGGCGAAAAAAATTTGTTCACCCTTTTTTTTCGCTCGGGAATGACAGAGAATACTCGAAATGTGACTTTTCTAATAAAGGACCCTGCCGGTTTTCAAAAGTATGTTGAAGCAGAGAGCTATATATCAGGTTTTGTAGAGCTTCTCGCGACGGATCTAAATCTGTATTGGGTTTGGGTTAATACCTTCTGATTATCCAGTTATGGGTATCACCATGTTTTTGATCTTCAATCGGTATTGATGTAAGTAGGGATGCACCGAGACGGGGTACTCGATACCCGAAACTTTAGTCTCGAGTAGTCTCGAGTCTCGAAAGTTTCGGTCTCGAATAGTCTCGAGTCTCGAGACTTTAGTCTCGATTAGTCCCGAGTCTCGAAAGTTTCGGTCTCGAATAGTCTCGATATAGTCATTTGGTAGATATGTCCTTCAATTGATTTCAAGTGCTTTTTCGTAATATTCCAGCGCTTTCGCATACTTGCCTATTTGCTCATAGACAGATCCGATGTTGTTGTAGGAAATAGCTAACTCTGGTTGGTCCGGAGGAAGTATTTGTTTGCGAATATCCAATCCTTTTTCATCAGCCGAAAGTGCTTGTAAGTATTCACTCATGTTTTTATACACTGAACCGAGTTGGCCGTAAGTATTTGCTAAAAATGGATGGTTTCGTGGAAGGGTCTTTTGATGAATTTCGAGTGCTTTTTCGAGGAACGAGCGTGCCTTCGAATAGTTATTGATGTTATACAGTGTACCGATGTTCATATAGGCAGTACCCAAATTTCAATGATTAGGAGGAAGTATTTTCTCATTGATTGCGAGCGCTTGTTCGTAAAACGAAAGCGCTTGCATAAATTCACCTATATCATGATATGCCATAGCGATGTTGTTGTAGGTTGTAGCCAAAAGAGGATGATTTGGAGGAAGCGTTTCCTGATCGATTTTAAGTGCTTTTTCGAAAAATTGAATAGCTTTCGAAAGCTCTCTCAAATCGTAATTCAACAAACCGATGTTATTCAAACACCGCGCCACATCCGGATGGTTTGGCGGTAGTATGTTTTGCCAGATTTCTAGTGCTTTATCATAGCACAACCTAGCTTTTGAATAATCTCTCATGTTATAACACGTAAAAGCAATGTTATTGTAAGAAGCTGCGAAATTGAACTGGTTTTTCGGGATGTTTTTTCATGGTGTTTCAGCGCTTCCTCGTAAAACGAGATTGCTTCCACATAGTCACATTGACTATCTTTGATCATTCCAAGCCGATTATAGAGATCTATTTTTCTGTCATTATCTGATGTTTGATCGAGTAGCAGTCGGTACATTCGTTGCGCTTTTTCTGGTTCGTCCAGTTGAATAAGTAAATAACCAAGGCGGTGCCATCCAGTTGCTCCTGGCAGCTCCTCTCGCATTCTTTCGGTAAGAGCATTGAGATCCTTGTCATTGTCACTCGTTAATGTAAGATGAACCCGCCATAATCGTTTATTGTCATCAATCTGTTCAATGTCACCAATTCGAAAAATTGTATGCATCGAGAAAAGAATCTCTTTTTCAGTTTTATAGTTACTGGCGTTTTCAGTAACTGCAAAAGGTATCGATGAAATCGATGGGTCGATAGTAATTACGAAGAGAACGCCTATCATACTATGTTCAGCGCAATTGCTCTCTGCAAAAGCCAAAGAGGCGTCTGGATCCACACTTGTCGATAAAAAATTGTTGAAAGAGATGAGTCCACCTTTTGTTTTCGATAGTTTTTCGAAGTCTACGTTCGATATGCCTTGATCTCGGTACAAAGTAAATAATTGTGTCGCATGACAACCGAATTGCTCAGAGTAAAGATTTTTTATGTCTTGATGGAGATCACGCATGAAAACGCCAAAGTTAATAATTGTATCAACTTCTTGAGTACGCAAACCTCGATTGAGCATCGAATACAAGAACCATTGGGAAGTATACCACCAAATAGACGATTTAAGGTTATATTCTCGCTTGAATTTATTGATGTTGTCCAATTCGGGATCGTTATTGACATATTGGCTACGGCAATAGGTAGCCAAATTTTTTACTGATTGTTCATCGTAGTCTATACGAGAAGAATTTCTTTACAAAGTTTTGTATATATATATATGCAAGTGCAGATGTTATTAATAGTTCAGAAAAACCATTTGATTCTCAAGGCTTTCGACATAATGGTAGAAGAACATATCGTGGACGTGATGGTGATTCACGTCGGTGTCGTGGCCATTCTAGAGGCTGTGGTGCAGATTTTCGTGGACGTCGTGATAATTCACGTGGACGTCGGGATCATTCTCGTGGTCCCGCTGGAGATTATCCTGGGCAAGGCCAACGTGAAAATTACAGTCAACCGAATGATGCTCAAAATAGCAGACACGATCGTTGGCAAAAAATAATGAAATTGTGAATGAACATGCTAGTAGTAATCAAATATAAAGATCGTGAGAGAGGTGAGATAATTTCTATTGTTTTTTAATAAATTTATTTTTCTTTTATCAACTATAAATATCTCTGGCATATTCAAATGTGATTCTGATCGAATCCATCAAACGACAGTATTTTGCTGTTAAACTACTTGGAAAAGGAATCACAATACTATCTAAATTGAATATATTTGTAATGTATAACTATATTACAACTACATCACACTTAAAATACTAATTTATCAGCTAAAACTTCATTTGAGAGAATGGTCATTGGAAATGGAAAAATCCGAGTGAACTGATTCTCCTTCTAATGCGTCTCCGTCCTTTTGATCAAGGCTTAATCTATTATTATGAAAACGCTTTAAATTTAAATACAAAATTAATACTTTAAGTTAAATTATTAACAGAATAAAAGTTATTATTGAACAAAAAAATAAATAAATGCTAAAATAGAGAAATATCAGTTAAAAGTAGAAAATAAGTTTAAAGTTAAAATATTTATCGAAAACTATTTCCTACTAGTCATCCTCATTTAATTAATGTGCAAGATATTATTCAATTTCTTAACTTTATACACAATTTGTATGAATTATTTAGTTAAAGCAATTATGATTGGACTAAACATAAATAAGTATTCGATAATATTGTATACTATCAGTAAAAAAGGTAATTAAACTAAATTTGCATCGTTTTCTTTCTCATATAAGATTAAGCCTCGCCCGTCCGCTCCCCCTAGTTCTCTGAATAAAATTCTGTTTTCTCGTGAATCATAGCCAAGACTTTTCCAGGATATAAACTATTTTACTTGTATTTTTTAATTCGAAGCAATTGTATATAAGTAAGAATTAAATAAATAATAGTCATTATTCCAAGTGCAAGAAAATTCTTCCACAGATCCCAATCACTTTCAAAATCAATATGACGTTCTATTAACGTGTCTTCTCCACGATATGAACATATGCTAGTGGTATTGTTTGCTACAGTAGCACATAAGTTGAGATTTGTAAATTCATTAATATTCAAACCATATAGTGCATAGCGAAATATGCTGAACCTATAATAAAGAGCTCGGCATGTTAAAGTACAAGACCAAAAGATTAACACTAACCATTGCAGCCAATTTAAAGCAGCAACGATACTTGTAAGATCAACTATAAAGCCACTGAAGATCATCATAATTAAATAAATCATGCCAAGAATGACATTAGCTACAGCTAAACATGCGGTGAAAACAACTCCTTTGGGAGTGAGCGTAAGTGGTTAGTTTAGAATAGTCCGCTAACTTACCAAACACATCGACAGTAGCTGATAATAAGAAACAAAGTGAACATGAACACAGTGTGATCATCAGAATAAAACCTAAAAAGATGAAGAATTTTCCAGCTACAGGTTGAAAATTAACCATATAATAGACAGTAATTGATATGATAACTGCTGGAATAATTCTTAATGGAATCAAATCACAAATCAGTTTTGATATCATATATGTGGATGTATGATAGTAGCCACTTGAATTTTCCTGAAAAAGATAGTGTAGTTATTAAACGGAGCTGGGTTTATGATAAAATTGTAGGCCTTTAGACCTTATAGTTCCTGAAATATTGAATTTGAGGAGTTAGTTTTCAAAAAATAGCGCCAATTTATGCATTTTCGATATTTTGAGTTCAACTGAAATCCAGTATTACAGAGTTAAATCTCAGTCGTAAGAGCATCAAAAACTGTGCAAAATGGCTGGCTTTAAAATTAAATTTTCATCTTAAACAATTAATTTCGATATTTCAGAAGCCAACATTTTTTTTATCGACAAAGCGAAGCTAGAGTGTTTTCTTCTTAATTGTATCCAATAGAGTACGAACTTCTCTATAATATCCATATAAAATTTCGAAAAAAAATTAATAATTAAAAATACTTACATGAATAAATAGTGCACGTTCTTTCAAAAATAATTCAAGTGAAATTAAATTAACAAAGACTTGAAATGTTGTAATAAGAAATAAAGCACCGGCACGTTGTCTAACACCTTGATCCAGTGTATGATCAATACGAAGGAATACCAGACCACAAAGAATAGCAAATACGATGCTAACACCAATTTGTATTATGATCACGGTTGGACTTCGACCAAGATTTCGTAGAACACGTTGTGATACATAATATAATTCATTAAATCGACATTTTTTCGGTAATTTTTCATATAAAATCTGATCTGATGAAGGATGATTAAAATAATTATCCGTTTCTTGTTGAACAGATGCCCATAAATAAGATTTTAAATATCTGTTATTCAATGTTTCAGCGAGTTTGTTTTGTGTTAATTTTTTGTCTTCTTCTTTATCATCCTTTTAATAGAACTGATGTCAGCATACTCGAAACAAACATTCACTTAACTGTTGGTCAACTTCTCTCTCTATCCCGATCCCGATTCGTTTCTTCTAGTTTCCTAATTTTAAAGATATTCTTCTCCAATTACATACGTCTCTGTTACCTCCTTTACACTATTCTTCAATATTACTGATGAATGTCGATCACCTTGTACAATATCCAATAGAAAATCACATGGATTATCATATTGTTCACATATAAAGCCTAGTGATTCTGAAAAATATGACAAAATATCGGGAGCTGGTCCATGATAAATGCATAGTCCCAATGATAAAAGTAAAATTTGATCAAATAATTTATAAATCATATAACGAGGTTGATGTATAGAAAATATGATTGTACAGCCGTTTAACGATATTTCATGTAAAAGTTTCATCACTTTAATAGCTGTACTTGAGTCCAAACCTAACAAAAAATAAGCATAAAATAAAACGCCCTTTGTCTTTTTACTTCAGAAGAATGTTAAAAGTTCTTGCCTGTTGTTGGCTCATCAAGAAAAATAATTTTAGGCGACAAAACAAGTTCCATTCCAATGTTTGTTCGTTTTCGTTCGCCGCCAGATATGCCTCGAATCAATTCCGTACCAACTCTGGTATCAGCGCATTTTTCTAATGCTAATTGATGAATGACTCGTTTGACAACATCTGCTTTCTGTTGTTTACTTACAGTTTTTGATAAACGAATATTAGCTGAAAAAGCTAAATTTTCTTTTACCGTTAATGTACCACTGAGAATATCATCTTGTACGACATAACCAACGCGATATTTATAATCATTTGGACGCGTCTGACCATCAATCAGCACTGTTCCAGATAGACCATCAGGATCTTTTCGAGCAGCTAGAACGTCCAATAATGATGATTTCCCACACCCTGACGGGCCTAGAATTAAGCAGACGTCTGTGTAACACTAGACTAAGCTGGAGAACGCTCTTGAACATAATAAGATTGCCTTATCTAAATTTCCTCCTTTATTTAATTGTATCACAGTCCGAAGCCGGCCTAGTTTCGAACTAACACTTACCAAGAATCGCATTCATTCCTGACTTGAATATACCCGTAATATCATGCAAAATTTGTTTATTCTTTGTGTTTTGAAATGGCATTTTCAAATATTTATTGCAATATTCTTTCTTATTTATACTGTAATTAATATTATGAAATGAGATACTTGCGCCGTCCACCATTGTAGGTGCGTGACCATGGTTATTTGAATCAGCATTCCTAAAACTGTGTAAGTCGTCATTTATTAGGCGAACTCTGTTGTAAAGAGTAAACATCGTCGCACATTTTACATACAGAGAGAGAGAAAGGAATAAAGTGCACCTTTTGATTTACTCGATTCGGTTGTGCAAGAAACTAAATTCCGGAGCTTCTAAAATTTCAATTTTCCAGAAACTGTCAGTGTAGATACAATGATCATCGCCACATTCTATTACATATAATTCTATATATTTGAGCCAAAAACTAAAGTATTGTCTGGCATAGATCCAGAGCTGAACAAGTCACGACATTTCCAAGTCATGACTTGATTTTTTTTTTCATAGAAAAATGCTCAAAGTTAGACAGACTTCCCTTATTTCTTTGCTCTATGGCACGATTGTTACTCCTCCGCTAACTGTGTCGGCAACTGATGGATTTTTTATGCTATTTTGTTTTCATAGTTACTGTTGGAGAATGACCAAAATCACTTATAAAGTCATAGTTTTTCGATTGAAGAGCACTATTATCTAATACTGGATTAGAATTCTCTACCTAATCATATATTTTACCCTCAAATTTGCCACAAGAACCTGATTTTCTTAGCTGATGACTTGGCTCAATTTTGCAAGCCAACTCGTCTTTTCGAAAAATGCCCAAGTCAGATCAAGTCAAATCAAACATGTTCAGCTCATTTTGTATTATTCAGTCCTGCGGCAGATCTCTAGTTAGCATAGCTGACGAAATATGATCATCAGCCTGTGAAACCGACCGAACTGATTGCAGTTTCTACCTCTCTCTATAACCCAAAAAAGTAACGAGAAAACTTATTCAATTCAAACCACTCAGAAGAGATGACTCTGACTCTCGCACGACAGACCTGAAATCAGTTGTTTTAACCTTCCTCGTTGCCGACAAATGTTCGATACTGAAAATTATGTCCTTCGATTCCATATCGTTTGCTGATTCTGAACTTAACAGTACCAATAATGACCAAATATGAACTTCTGCAAAATGAAAACTTAATAAACAAAAACGAATAGAAAAGTTAACTGTATGCAGTAAGAAAACAGCACTTTTTATATCAGTCCTTAGCAAATGAGCTGATTATCTGTTATTTTTTAATATACTTTCATAATATTTTTTGTTATATTAGAAACTCAACCTGAATAAAGACAAATCTCTCATCTGATTTTTCTCTTCTTCCTAGTCAATATTTAGTTGGAACATAGTATATTCATCTGTAGCCATGATTTAGCGGCAGAGTTTAAATTACAAATAAATATTGAGTAGGAAGACTAGAAAAATCAGATGAAAAATTAATTTTTCTATCAGGCTGAGTTTAGGACTACGTCTGAATCATCGTGAATCATAAACGCTACGCACATTACGTCATTGTCGAACTTTATCTGGTATTCGGATTGACGGTTTTCGCCATATAACTCGGTAAAGAAAGGTCTAAAATAAAATTCAGAAGAATACCTCTGCGATAGTACCTTGAGTACCTCTGGCAAAATTTTTAACTCGATCGGATGAAATTTAAGGGGTGTCCTATGAAAACAGAACTTTCTGCAAAACTCGTGAACGGTTATAGTTAAAAACTTCGAATCAAAATGAAAACATGCTCCACTAACTTTCCAATCAGTTCTAAAAATATGAAGCCTTAGTGACTTTCAGTTTTTATTTGACAGCATTTCTACGGAAAGCTCAAAGCAGAGAAAGGGGTGAGGGTGAGGAAAAAACACAATCCTACAGTTTTTTTCAGCTTGAAATGGATTATTATACTTGTTCAGGGGTAGAAACTTTAGAATCGTTAAAATTAGTAACAGCAGGTGCTTTTAGATTCATATTTATTTCATTACTTTTGTATTTCATATTTATTAGATTTTACACAATATGTTTTTCTCTCTCTAACAAAGAATGTCTGTTTCTCTCTGTCTCTCTCTCTCTCTTGCCAAAAAAAATGTATTTTACTCAAACTGATTATTTCTTTAGTCATATGTATTTACACTGTACGTCTTATATAATCTCTTGAATTATATATACGTCTATATTCTCTTGTAAATGAAAATTACAATTCTCGAGACGTCAAATGTATTTTTCAAAAAAAAACAATTTTAATCTTTTAATTTTATTTTTTACTAAATAAATATGAATTTAAAAGCAGCTGCTGTTACTATTTTATCAATTTTGAAATGGATCATGCCGCTCTTACAGAAATAAGGTTCTCTTTATTCGAAAAAAAAGACAACTACTACTATAGTTCAAAAAAACAAAACAAAACGAAAGTGTTCTACTATATTCTCCATTTAGGGGGTGGACAGTTCCAGTTCACGTTCAACAAGAGCTAAACTGGTATCAGTTCTTTTCAAAAATTAAAAATAAACCAGAATCGTTGAACCTAGTTACATTGACTTTGTCTAATGTGCCAGAGGTAGATGGTACATTTAGTAGGCCAATCCGAGTCAATATAACTAGCTATATCGATTTTATTTTAGTCTGAATTCTTGAAAAGAACTGGTAAGCAGTTTGCGTTCAACAAAAACTGAGCTGGTAACCAGTTCTTTCGACCAGTTCTTAGAAACTATAGGAACTCTTCCACCCCTACCTCCATTCGATATTTTTGTGAAATATCTCTTTTGTTAATATTCTTCATTCCGTTGTTAATATTTTACTTACAATGGTCAAATCTTCGAACGATGACTGAATGTAAAGTTTTAGATAAAATTAAACTTGCACCCAATTCACCTGGTTATCACGATTGGTCAAATCCACCACCTGCAACAACATATACTTATCGTTTATCTAATGTTATTAATTCACAAGATATAATGACATCAAAATCAAGTATACGAGCTCCGTTAATGGAAATAATTCAAACAAGCTCGTTCAGTTATACGTATGTAGTTGTTATTTAGTACTAGAAATGGAACGCATAATAAAGTAACAGCAGTAGTTTCCATTTTATTGAAATACATATAATTAAATTAAAACGAAATATTTCAACGTTTCGAACTTTAAAAGTTCTGAACTTTTAAAGTTCGAAACGTTGAAATATTTCGTTTTAATTTAATTATATGTATTTCAATAAAATGGAAACTACTGCTGTTACTTTATTATGCGTACTAAAATTTTTGCCCATTCATAAAGAAAATGTGTACTCTTAGAAATGGAGTTCATCAGAAACTTCGTGACACCGCGAATTATCGATTCACCTAGAAAATTACTTATATCTATTAGATATTAAATTGTCTAGCTACATACGTATGTGTATGGAATGAGAATATAAAGGGTGGCCCAGAAGTCTTGACTCGATTCGAATGGTTAGTTTTTCTTTAGTAAAGTACATGGTTAAAAATGGGTCTCTAGTGTGAAAAGATGCAGCAGAATACGCTCTACAAAATGGCGCTTGATTGACCATTCTACTTCATATAGTGAGAAAGTTACAAGAAATATGCTCTACAGAAAATAAAAATTAACCGTGATCTTGTTCTCTGTATTTTGCTCTAACGAGGAAACATATGTAACTGACCAATCGTTTTTTTAATGAAATCTAGTGGAGTATAGGTAAAAAATAGTGCTGAATCCGAATATCGGCATAAGACGGGCCGTTAGTATAAGAGTACCGTTAGGCCTTGCGAGTACCGAATTTCTGGGAAACCAGGTTTCCAGAGCCAGAAACTTTTTGTTCTAAAACTTTTTTCTGATCTGTCTCAACTGTAGAGCACATCGAGAAACCTATAAAAAACTAGTTTTCAGAATTTTGGAACCCTTCCACAGCCCGCCAGACGGACTTTTCTTCACTTTTCCGTATGCTGAGGTTTTTTGAGGGAGGAAAAACACGTTAAAAAACCCCAAAACTAGTTTTTTATAGGTTTCTCGATGGGCTCTACAATCGAGACAGATCAGAAAAAAGTTTTGGAACAAAAAGTTTCTGACTCTGGAAACCTGGTTTCTCAGAAATCCGGTACTCGCAAGGCTTAGTGGCCCGTCTCAGGCCGATATTCGGATTCAGCACTATTTTTTACCTATACTCCACTAGATTTCGTTAAAAAACGATTGGTCAGTTACATATGTTCCCTCGTAAGTTTTGTTTACTTAGACTTATCAGAACAAGTGCCTGTTTTAAATCGAAGCGGTGAAAAATGCTCTTCATACTTAAACTTTACTTCCAGAACTCCGATTAAGAAAAACGTAGCAAATTATACGTGAGGCAAAAACTAAGAACTTCATGAATTTAGTTGTCTTTTGCTTGAAATTTTTCTTTTCTTAATATTTCTGTTTGACAGATGACAGGGTATGAAAATGAGTACTCATTGGTATTCGGTACTTTTAAATTTACTCTTTCTTGTGGTCTCTAAAATATCTGTTTTATAGAAGATGGTGTGCTTGAGATTCAGGTTTCAAGAATACGTCTAGAATTGACACTGTGGTTTTCGGCAATGTACTCAGCAAAAAAAGAAAAGGTGATCGATGTTTTGATGTTGCAGCTAGTTAGAGGAGTGCAATCATTTCTGATCAAAACAAAACAAAACAAACCTGATTGGCAAACCTTCTGTTTTGATGCAGCTACGAGACTTTTATAGGAAGAACCATCATAGAAATCGGGTTCACGGTTAATTTTTATTTTTCGTGCACCGTGTTTCTAAGCTTGTAACTTTCTCACTATATAAGGTAGAATGGTCAATCAAGCGCCATTTGGTAGAGCGTGTTCTGCTGCATCTTTTCACACTAGAGACACATTTTTAATCGTGTATTTTACTAAAGAAAAACTAACCATTCAAATCGAGTCAGGACTTCTGAGCCACCCTTTACATGGGTGGCTATATGTTTGACTGACTGACTGCATTTGTGTGTAAGTTTTTTCACGTTCCTCAGCGCGTGTAAGCGAGTTCGGAGAAAAATAAAATTTAGCGATTTCCTAGCGGATCCTCCATATATAACACTATTACGTCTCTTTTTGCATATTCATACATAAGGAGCTTCGCAGAAATCAGCCTGCTTAATTGAGTGGATGGGAGCAAGTGGATAACTGCGTCAGTGCGTCACTTTAAGTGACGAAGTGACACTTCAAGTGAAGAAGTGTCACTCAAAGTGAGAGACACTTCGGAGTGTGCGCAGCAAAATCGAAGATCATTTCCCCCTTGAGCACGTACCACATTGGTAGCCATTTGTACAGGCATTTATCAAGTAATACTTATCAAATGTTTGTCAAGTACCCGTGGAAAAAGTTGCAAGTAAACAAGAGCGTACTTACAATGCTGGATGATTGGCGGCGAGGGATGATGCACAAGAAAAAGTTTTGAGAATATTGAAATGAAAAATGCCTTAACGTTCTCCTTCTTTAACAAATGAAAAGCAATAAATATTCGTTGAGTACCAAAGTTGAAAGCATCAGCTAACTAAATGAAATATAAAATCATTCGGAATATCGTCTGGGCTTCGTTTGTATAAATAAAGAAAGAAATTATATTTACAAACGTAATGAGTGAAAGAAAACAAAAGCTGTTTCTTATTGTGTTGAAAGTTAAAAAAAAGCAAAAATGTTTTTTCTTTTCTTTCACTCAGTACGTTTATAAATATAATTTCTTTCTTTATTTATACAAATGAAGCCCAGACGATATTCCGAATGATATTATTTTGCTAATTTTATTTAAATTTCATTTCTCTTCGAAAAGATTTATCGAAAATTCCAACAGAGAAAAGAATGAAATATTACTAATTAGTTAGCTGATGTTTTCAACTTTGGCACTCAATGAATATTTATTGCTTTTCGTTTTGTTAAAGAAGGAGAACATTAAGGCATTTTCCATTTTAATATTCCCAAAACTTTGTCTTGTGTGTCATCCCCCGCCGACCAGGCATGCACCAGTAAAATATATTGGGTCCGCATATTACTGTATACCCAATATTTTGAGACCAATAATATTGGTCACCCCAACGTAATGGGTTTTTACAATACTATTGGGTACTGGGTAGCTTGAGTTCAGCCTGCGTTTACAGTACAGATGCATGCTCTATATTCCGTCTTGAATCAAAATATAATTCAATTAGGCAGGCCCCGATTAGTAATCGATGTAGGGCAACCAACAAAGGCGTTCCGAATCAATTATGAAAAATGTTTGCTCTACCAGACTGAAGTGCTAAAGAAATTTTAATGTTATATATGGAGAAAAGATGATAAACCAGAAATGCAGTAAAATTGCAGAAAAATAATTGATAGTCTATTATTTTTTCGCAGTTTTGCTCAGTTTTGGATGCTTATATCAATAACATGGAGTTGTATGGATGGTTTTAACCCACGTAATAAATGTATTATTTGTTCGGACTCGGTCATCACGTGATTAAATCTCTTACATAATTGTAAAATGTCATAATAATATGATTGTACTGATTCGTTCACGCTCTGTCGACGATTTATTAATTTTGATGAAATATTTAATCTTTGTGTTGATGATGTAAATGAACGAATTAATTCAAGTATAAATGCGTCGTAATCTTCTTCATGTTCTGAATTTCGATACCATTTTTTA